ACCCACCCACCCCCCATAAATCCCCATCCCTACTCCTCCCGACTTACCAGGCCCTTTTTCTCCAAAAACATATCTTGGATCATCTATTTTAGATTTACAGTAAAAGAAATAAACATAAAGTTAAAGCACCTGTTTTATTTTGAAAGGAGTGTGTGTAACAAACTGGTAGCGTGTGCATTTTAAATCTTGTTAGATGGGCAGTATGCCAGAGGCTTTTGATATATATAACTTCCAAAATAAACAACTATTACAATTAACTACGAGAATCAAGGCATAATTTCTCATGAAAGAGCAGGCCCTTTTTCTACAGCTTTCCTTTTCAGTTTTAAGAACTCAGTAAGTATGCAACCTGGCACATGAATAAGAACAATCTTAAAATTAGGAAAAAAATAATAATCAGCTCCAATTCCTAATTCAGTATATTTCTTAAGTATAATCCAACCAAGGAGAGCCATAAATGGTCCAGAAACATTTACTAACTAAAACCTAACATATGTAACTTCTTTCTGGGTGGTGTACAAAGTCAAATCAAACGATTACAACAAATCAAATAATGTTCATTCCTCTAGAATTGACAATGATAAAGTCCTTGCATTAGTGATATACAGTTAAAGGAAAAACACTTAATTTGCAAGACTGTCCAAAATCTCTATTCCACGTGCAGGTCAGCTAAGGTCATATGTCTAAATATGCAATTCACTTCTAACCCTCTTTAATTCTGTGCATCTTGAATTGATTGTTTGAAAGCCAGTGAAAGATTTTTCATTTTAAATGTGTTTGATAAATTCATACTTAATTCTTTTTCATTTATTGGAAAATGGAATTATTTCAGAGTCTTTAAAAATTTGAGAAGTAATTGAGCAGTGTGCAAAGGTTCTTAAAATTAAACATTACTTAGCTGTTTAGTCAGCTACTTTCTAATATATGCATGTATATATTTAGAACATCTGTTTAAGAGAGGGGAATTGTAGAAATGAGAACAATAAAAAGCTTAAATATGTATACTAAAATAGTTGAACAGCAAAGTATTACCAGAATAAAGTTGGGGAATGAAATTATTAAAAACTTGGCAGAATAATGTCTTCAATTAAGGACATCAAAAAGAGGCTAGGTTAGCCTTCTTAGGAGCAGAAAGATATTTCTGATATTTTAAATTATTAATCAATGTCAATATTTCAAGGGGTATTATGGTTTTTAAATTACATACCAAATGATCTTGTTACTTATATTTTGTACAAGCTGAAATTTTAAACTTACTATCCACTATTACTGAATAAAGTGACTTGACTGGTTTCCCTCCAATAAAGTTAATTATTATTGTCCATTGGGCAAAGGTCATCAGCCACTGTTGCAATCTGGCAGGAAGTTAAAAACAGCCTATAAAATATTTTCAAAGACAAGGTAACAGGGAAGTGGTCACTTTCAGGTCAACTGACATTTGCGAGCCTGGATACATAGTGGATTAAATTCTATCCTAAGATAAGATAACAAAGAAAGCTTGGAATTAGCCCAGCAATTAATTGACCTATTTAAAATTATCACATACAGTTTTGTGAAAGTTTGGACCAAGCCCTCTGCAATAGCTGTATACATCTTTAAACTGATGGCATAGAATGAGGGATGTTGTCTATAGAGATTCTCCAGGTCATGGTTGTAGGCTGAGAAGCGAAAAGCCTTCAAAGAAAAAACAAAGTCCAGTTGCCTCTTGAAAAAGCACCTTTGTGACAATGAGGGATGTTGTTACAAAAGATAACGGCTGGCTGTGAAATTTAGCAAAGGGTGATTTATTGTTTGTCTTTATCTGCCAATCAGTATTAAATGTATTGTCTAAAGCAGTCTTTCTCAACCTTGGCAACTTGAAGATGTCCGGACTTCAACTCCCAGAATTCCCCAGCCAGCGAATGCTGGCTGGGGAATTCTGGGAGTTG